TAGCCTATCTTATTTTAGTGTGGATTGTATTCTATTTTAGGCATTGATCCCTTTGTTTTTGTATAAATATACTCTTAATATTCAAAGAGAAGGCAAGCATTATTTCACTCTGTATTGTGGTATTAGAGCCCTAATACATCTTAAACCCTATTCTTTTCTTACCTACGACACATATTTTGTAATCGTTGCCTTCCTCTTCTTCAACATCAGTCAATGCCAGGATCTAAAGATTCTTCCTCTTCAAAATCATCTCCATCTTTCTACCGTGCTTTTGGTGTTAATAACATCAAAAATTCCATACCTATTATCCTCGATCGAACTGATGGAAATTATCCATCATGGATGGAGTTGTTCAATATCCATGCTTGTGCATATAATGTTCTCGATCACATCAATCCACAAGCCAAACGACCTGCTAACGTTGATGATTCTACATGGCTGCGACTAGATGCCATTGTCAAACAATGGATTTTCGCCACAATCTCACCTGATCTTAGACAAACGATCCTGAAACTGGGTGCCTCTGCCCTTGAACTCTGGAATCGTCTTGAAGAAATTTTTCAAGACAATAAAGCCACTCGAGCAGTGTATTTAGAAGAGCATTTCAACACCACACGTTCTGACTCTTTCTCTAATCTTACTGATTCCTCTCACCTCAAGAATCTCGCTGATCAACTTGCTAATGTGGGTAACCCTATCTCTGAAACTAAAATGGTGTTACAACTTATCGCAGGTTTGACTAAAGGTGATTATGATACTATAGCAACCCTCATTCAACAAACCGAACCTCTACCCAGCTTCAACAAAGCCTACTCTCAGTTAATTCTTGAAGAAACTCGCCACAACAATCAGTCTTCTCACACACCGCAGGCCCTAATCACCAGCTCTGCTGCTCCAGTGTCAGCTTCATCTTCTCATACCAACCACCAGCCTTTTAACTTCAATAATGGCAGCAACCCAACTCATGGTGGTAGCAGGGGACGCAACCGTGGCGGTAGTCAGCGAGGAGGTAGAAGTCAGCAAGGAGGAAGAGGAAGGGGGCGTGGACGATTCAATGGGCCTCCATCTCACAATTACGGGTCCAACTCTTACCCTTGGTATAACATATATACTTACCCTACTTCTTCATGGGCCATCCCACCTTGCCCTTATCCTACTACGGCCTAACACCCTTCTCAATTGGGTCTTCTTGGCCCATCACCTACATCTCAGATTCGTCCCCAGCATCCTACTACCCCCAAGCTCATTACACAGATGAGCATGGTACACCAATGACCCCAGCTCAACTTGAAACCACTTTCAACACCATGTATCTTTGCCAACGAGATAAATCTTGGTATATGGACACTGGGTTGACTTCTCATCTCACCAACAACTCAGGTAATCTTTCCCATTATATCTCTTTGAGTAATCCGCATTCTATTTTAGTTGGTAATGGCACAAATATTCCTAGCACTGGTCAAGGTTCCACCATCCTCTCTTTCCCTAATCGTTCTTACTCTCTCCATAATGTTTTCCATGTTCCCCAAATTATTAAAAATTTGGTTTCCGTAAGAAAATTTACTCGGGATAATTGGGTTTCCATAGAATTTGACCATTTCGGTTTATTTTTTTGTGAAGGATTTTATCACGAAGAAGGTTCTTACGAGGCACAATAGTACCGGTGATCTTTATCCCTTCACTCTCGCCAACATCAACTACGAGTCTTCTTCTTTTTCTCTTCATGTTGTTTCTTCTTCAATTTAGCACAACCGCTTTAGTCATCCCGGGAATTCTGTTTCAATTTTCTTAGGACTAGTTTTCCAGATTCTAGTGTTAAATTTGATTACTCTTGTAATGCTTGTTCTTTAGGAAAACATTGTCGTTTACCTTTCTCTCCATCTCAAACTTTTACTTTTGCTCCGTTTGATATAATACATGCTGATTTATGGACATTTCCTATTGCTTCTAAACTTGGTCATAAATATTATTTAGTGTTGCTTGATGATTTCTCTCATTTTACATGGACGTATCCCTTACAATCAAAATCTCAAGTCTTCTCAATTTATCAACAGTTTCACACGTTTATTCAAACCCAGTTTCATAAAACCATCAAAAACCTTCAATGTGACAATGGTAGAGAATTCAATAACTATATGTTTACTCAGTTTTTCATTAAAACTGGTACTCAATTTTGGTTCACTTGTCCTTATACCTCGCCTCAAAATGGCAAGGCTGAACGAATCATTCGCACAATTAATAACATGATTCGAACAAATCTTCTTCAAGCTTCTCTACCTCCCTCCTTTTGGCACCATGCTCTCTCTGTTGCCACATACCTAATCAACATCTTACCTTCTACTGCGATAAAAAACAAAACACCTATAGAAATTCTTTACTTACGCAAGCCCACATACTCTCATCTTCGTACTTTTGGGTGTCTTTGTTATCCTAATATTTCCTCTGCTACACCAAACAAATTAACCCCAAGATCGATACCCTCTATCCTCCTTGGGTATCCACCTAATCACCGTGGTTACCTATGTGATACACTCTCCGATAACAAACGTATAATTTCACGCCATGTCACCTTCAATGAACAAACCTTCCCTTATCAAAATCGATCTTCTTATCCTCCTTCTTCGTATGACTTTCTAAATGATATACCATCTTCTCCCTATTTATACTATCATTCTCAACAACCTCCTACCACTAGTACCAACCACAATACTAGTGCCAATGTTCATCCCTCTCAATCCTTACCGACCATCCCTCGTGGACCTCCATCTCTTCCACCACCACCACCTCCACCTCCAACACCACCACCACCACCACCACCACCAACTCGTGTCCCTCCTATGCATACACGATCTCAAAGTGGGATTCGTAAACCAAATCCCAAATATGCCCTTCACTCTAGTTCTATTTCTCCTATTCCTATTTCTCCAAAGGCAGCCCTACTTGAACAAAATTGGAATTGTGCTATGACCAATGAATTTAATGCTTTACTTAAACAAAATACATGGGATTTGGTTCCTCGTCCACATGACAATGTAATTGGTTGCCATTGGATTTTTCAACATAAATTTAATTCTGATGGGTCTCTTGAGCGATACAAAGCTTGTTTGGTTGTTAATGGTAAATCACAAGAAGTTGGTGTGGACTATGGCGAAACGTTTAGTCCTGTTGTCAAACCTGCAACAATCCGGACTGTTCTTAGTCTTGCGTTGAGTCGTCACTGGCCTATTCACCAACTTGACGTCAAAAACGCTTTTCTCCATGGGAATCTCAAGGAAATAGTCTACATTCACCAACCTCTAGGTTTTGCGGATCCAAGTTTTGCCGGATATGTTTGTAAGTTACGCAAGATATGGGTTGAAGCAAGCTCCACGAGCTTGGTATCAACGATTTGCTCGCTACTTGCTTAGTATTGGTTTAGTTTGTAGTAAGAGTGACAACTCTTTGTTTATCTTTCGGAAAAATAATGAATATGCTTATCTACTTGTCTATGTCGATGACATAGTTCTTACAGAGTCTTCAAATCAGCTCAAGGCGCAAATCATATCTTCCCTAAAATCTGAGTTTCACATGAATGACCTCGGTAAACTCACTTACTTCTTGGGTATTTCGGTTAGCTACTCTAAAGGCGGTATGTTTCTTTCACAACAAAAATACGCATGTGAAATTCTCAAGAGGGCTACCGTGGAAAACTGTAAACCGGTAGCTACACCCACAGACACTAACTCTAAGCTCAGTTCTTCAGTTGGTGATCTTATCGCCGATCCTAATGCATATCGCCAGTTAGTCGGTGCTCTACAGTATCTAACTTTTACCAGACCCGACATCGCCTATGTTGTTCAACAAATATGTCTCTTCATGCATGCACCACGAGAACCCCACTTAAATGCTTTAAAACGCATTCTCTGTTATTTAAAAGGTAGTCTTCACCTCGGCTTGCATCTATATTCTAGCAAGCCATCTCAGCTTATTGCATATACATATGCTGATTGGGGTGGTTGTCCCAACACACATCGTTTGACATCAGGATATTGTGTGTTCCTAGGCGATAATTTGATTTCATGGTCCACTAAACGACAACTGACTCTGTCCCGCTCAAGTGTTGAAGCTGAATATCGTGGGGTGGCTAATGTTGTTGCCGAGGCTTATTGGTTGCGTAATCTTCTTCTTGAGCTTCAAACTCCTCTCAAGACTGCTACTTTGGTTTATTGTGATAACGTCTATGCTATCTACTTATCCGGTAATCCAGTACAACACCAACGCACGAAACATATTGAAATGGACATTCACTTCGTCCGGGAAAAAGTTACCCTTGGTCACGTTCGTTTTCTACATATCCCTTCCGCCTATCAGTATGCAGATATTTTCACCAAATGATTGCCTCGTCCTCTTTTCTTGGACTTCAGATGCAGTTTAAGCATACGTCCTCCTCCTGCTCCAACTGATGGGGGCTATTAGCCGATGTTATTTTAGTGTGGATTGTATTCTATTTTAAGCATTGATCCCTTTGTTTTTGTATAAATATACTCTTAATATTCAAAGAGAAGGCAAGCATTATTTCACTCTCTATTACTATTAATTTTGGAATCTTTGGTTCCCCATATTTACAATTTTATTTACAATTTTCCAAGTCAACTTTGAACGTACATCTATCGAACATCACTTTAGTTATAATCATCATACCTTTCTTAACTTATATCGAGATTCATATCACCGTTTACATATTTCATATCATGTCTCTACTTCATGTGATGGTATATATATATCTTCAACTTTCTCAACGAGGACTTATCTTATGTCCTTAAGCTCTAAGTCATGAGTTGCTATATGTCGATATGTCATCCCTAGGACTCGTGGTCCTCGTCATAATCCTACCTACTTTTAGGTAGCTCATAAATCAGATATTTCTTTTAAAAAATGACATGATCAACGCAAGATATTTACACCACCAATAATTAAAACATGAATCTTGCATGAAAGGCAGATATTTTGATACATAAAAACGTCTATTAAACAATGCTATTATCGTAATCAAGACCCCAGTTCTTCCAGCTGTAGCATTTTGTGAATCATAACATCCCAAGTTCTTTCATACTCTTATACTATTCTGTATTTAGATCCCTCATCCAAATGGGTCCCACATCTATAAACCGAAATCAACAACAACCGTCCATCTCTTCCAATCTCACGTCTCCTTCCTCCTATTGCAAAACACCCATGTACTTTTACCCATATAAAATAAACTTATCATACATCATAAAAAATCATCCAAACCTTCTGCAACTAATTATATTATATTAATATAGTTTCTGGAGGATTCTTCGAAACTAACATCAGCATGTGTCGTGGGTGATGAACTGCCTCCTAATTTTATCATCCATCCTTTTCATCCAGGCTTTCGTCTTTTCTTGATTCAAGGTGAAGAACTTACCCTTTTTGGAGTGTTGAGTAAAATTTTGATCTGGGTTTGGAAGTATGGGTGGCAATGGAGCAAAAAGTAGTGATTTTTATGAAGTTTTGGGGTTGAAGAAGGAATGCACTGAAACAGAGCTCAAGAATGCTTACAAGAAGCTTGCTCTGGTAAGAATTCTTTACTCCTGTCTTTTCTTGATTTTGAATGAAACTATTTACAATTCAACATGTCTTAGAAATGGCATCCTGATCGGTGCTCGGCGGCCGGAAACACCAGATACGTGGAGGAGGCGAAGAAGAAGTTTCAGGCGATACAAGAAGCTTATTCTGGTAAACTCTTCTATTAACCACACTGAATCTTGAAATTTGTATTTTGGTGAGTGTTTATAGCAACTTTATGAGATCAAACAATACTATGTTCTTAAAAGTCGATAAAGATTTGAACTTTTTATTACAGGGTTCACAATTTGCTAACTTGATTCCTCTGTTTTCTGTTTCTTAGTACTCTCCGATGTGGATAAAAGATTTATGTACGACGTAGGAGTTTACGATAGCGACGATGACGAAAATGTAAGTTCTTTTCTTTTTCCTTTTGATTATTAGTTTTGTTATACAAATTCGTATAATGGATTATGAGATTTAAAACTTGAAAGAAGCAAGAATCTTTTGAGCTCAGATTTTTCTTGAGCATCGAGGTTTGACATGGTCCACCTTAAAAACGAAGAGGAAGATGAAGCATGATCTGGGCCACCATTTAAGGGCTTTGGATCTCAAGAAATTAAATATTCATCTTTCCAGTAATTATAACTCACTTTTGATCTAAAAATAGTCAAAAACATTGTACTTTCCAGATTCATATTTTTAGTTTTTTACCACTATGTTTGTTGTAGTAGCTTGATAGCTGAAGAAAAAAAAAACCTAGGAGAATAACCATTCTTAAACATCAAACATAAAATGTAAGTCGTTTTATATTCAAAAGTGATATATACACTTTCTTGAAACCAGGAAATAACGCATGATCATAATTCATGAATTAAGAATTAAAAAAAAAAAAAAAATCTTTTCTTTGTTACTATTTTTTGTATGTGAAGTGTTAATCTTTATTATGAATGATATTGGAAGCAGGGTATGGCTGATTTTATGAGGGAAATGGCTGTGATGATGAGTCAAAATAAACCCAATGTAAGCCATTAATTCTCTATTCAAGTAGGCTCACAAAATATTTTTTTCATGAGGATGTAGGCCCTTTTAAACGTACATAGGGCAGGTATCAACTTGGTTTTGTCTGCTAATACTCTGTGGGGTTCTTGGTGTAATGTCACTTGTCTTGTTGAGTGTTGACTCATTATCAATAATTCAAAACGTATTTTCCAAAAAAGGAAAACAAAGGTTACCATTTAAAGTATTTTTGAAAAATGCTTATTGTGTGGTTGACAGGAAAATGGAGAGAGTTTTGAAGAACTAAAGGATTTGTTTGATGAGATGTTTGAAAGCGACATCGAATCATTTGATTCGACTTCACATTCATCTTCTTTATTTTCTAGTTGTGGTGAAAGTTCGAGCTCTAGTTCCTCAAACAAACGAGGTTCATCGGCTATGTCAAACATAAAAAATGATGACCCTTCGTTTTTTGATGCTCACATCCAAGGATTTTCTGTAGGGGTTAGTAGTTAGTATGCCAATATCTTTCTTTCTTTATTTATTATTATTATTATTATTATTATTATTATTATTATTATTTTAATTTCTTTTAATGTTGGGTCCCATATAGCTAAGCAAAGTCTCATTTGTCTATGTATATGTTAGGGATGTTTTAAAATGAGAAAATCTAGCACTCCACATACTAAAGCACAAAAGACTTTCCTAGTCTCATTGGTATATATTATCTCATACATGGACATGTTAGTGTCCCACATTAGCTAAAAAGAGTCTCATCTAAGACTCCTTATTTATAACTAATACTTTTGCTTAAAGTGTGTATTTTTTGATAATGTTTTTTCGTGTGGATTTAATGGTTTTTAGACGGGTAGAAGATATGATGAGAGGAGCAGCAGCAGGAGAAAAGGAAGGCATGATTAATGCTTTCACCCAAAATAAGATTTCTTGTGAAATTAGGTTCTCTTAATCACTTCAGAATCCTTTGATTGTCATCAAAATAGTTCTGGTTGTTTTTATGTAGTTATGTTTTCTTGTATCAAAATCAAGTGGCTTTAAATGTATTGTTTTCTTTTATGCAAAAGTGGGATTTTTCTTGATTAATTTCAATTCTGTGTTTGAGCGTGACCACATGCGCATACGTACATACACATATGTTATAATTGATGATGTCATCAAATAAACTAGTTGAAACAAATATATAATTGCTAATATATATACTTGAAAGGAACACCAAGTTGAAATAAAATAAATTATATTTTTATGGATAAATATCTGCTTGAATTAGGCAGATGGGGGACCATTTACTTTTTGGGTTAATTATTGTCATTATTGGTTGCATTTTCTTTCTTTCTTCTTTATTTATTTTATTGGAAACAAAATATGTGCTTTTTATCATTTTATAATAGCCTACCTCTTTCACCAAGATTTTTATTTCGTGATAGTCATGCATTGTATTCTTGACTTTTTTTTATAAAGAAAGAAAACTATTTTTATTTTGTATTTAACTGAGATATTTAATTAAACATCAAAGACAATAACGGCTTGCTTTGTTTTGTTGCAAAGCTCATTTGCTTTTGGAGTGGTGCGCTTATTGCCTAATGGTTTATAGTTAAAGATATTTGATTTTGCTTTTTTTTTTTTTTTTTGCTATTAAAATGATCATAAATACTAAAGGACTTTTAGTCTAATAGTATCATGTATATCTATGATTGAAGATCCAAATCATGCTTGGAGTGAAAAATATAGTTTGGAGTAGAGTATAGTGTGTGCATGTGTGTAAAAATTAAAATAACCATAAATGATGCAAGATAACAACATTTATCTTAAGTAAAACAAAATGATCAAGCAAACCACACATATTATTAAATGAAAAATAACCATCACATATTATTAATTAAGTCAACTTTTTCTGCCCGTAAATTAAATTGGATAATTGTTACATAGTGGAATTCAAGATTCAAACTCATCGTTGTCTAACTTAAACGAGGTGACAAAATTGGCTGGTTGTTGTTTTTATGGATTTTGACTGTATTTTTTTCCTTTTCATTTTTTGTCATCTTTCATCTCGATTTTTTTTCTTTTTTTTTTAATTTGTTAATTTAAGGGTTTATGAACTCAGGATATACTACGATATCTATGCAAAAGATACTATGATATATTCAGGATATAAAATGGTCATTTTAACAAGGACTTTTAATTTCAAAGTTTATTCTGTTATATATATATATATATATATATATATATATATATATATATATATATATATATATATATATATTGGGATATAAAAACAAGTTGAAGTTTGGCTTGATAGTAAAAGCATTGATTTATAAAACTAAAGGTCTCAAGTTCAAAACTGGTTGCTTACTTGAAGGGCTTCAATTTTTTGGTTTGCTTGGAGCCTCTAATTAATCAAGCCGCCCCTGACCCCACCATTACCTGACCTCTTTTAACGACCTGAAGCTTTTCTCTAATCCTTGTGTCTTCTATCATGGGTGACAACAACCCACTTTTGAACAAGCCTTTCGACATCACCCACATTTGATCGTATGTAAAGTTAACTCTCGACCTCAACAATCTCAACTACGATGCCAGGAGAGAACTCTGTGAATCATGTTGTATGAATTTTGGTGTTCATCTTCATCTCAAAGATGCTCCACCTGACAATCTCTCCGTTCATTAGCTTAATCTTAACAACCTTGTCAAGCTTTAGATCTATGATACAATTCACATATCCCTCATCCAAATGATTATCAAGAATGACATCACCGCTCACAATGTGTGGAAGAGCCATGAAAACTTGTTCTGGGATAACAAAGATTATCGTGCCATGCAACTGGAGAATGTCATTCGATTATTATAAATTAGTGACATGACCGTCAAAGACAATCACATTTCAATATGTAGCATTTCTAGCTATGGATCCTTACTGATCCTTACTGATCCTAACATTTCAATATAATCGTCAAAGACATTCGATTATTAGAAATTAGTGACATGACCATCAAAGACAATCACAATCTCGATCCTTACTGGATACGAACTTGAGATAAGTTCTTTTATTACTACTATGGATCTATGTGTCATATTCTAATGACCTATCATCGTATGTTGCAACGCTTTAGACTTAGGTCTCTTAGAGTCAAACTCCAAAACAAAGTATACCTTCCTTCATGTTCTAATGTGATACAATCACATTTCAATATGTAGCATTTTTAGCTACCAACTTCTTTAACAATCATCGCGATACTTCTACTGATCGCCCTGGGTTAGCTTTCAATTCAATCTTTTGGTTTAAGTTAGATGTTACATCGAACTTGGTTCTCTGAACCACGTAACATACTCATCGTATTCGGACTTAATTTGATATGACCACTAGGGTCAGAATAACAACAATCTTCTTAGTCATTACCAAAATGATGGTAACGACATGCTTGAATAAAACAGACTCATTTATTGGCTTCTTGGTAACCTTGTGACTTTCCCTGATCCAAGCGTGAGTCATGTGCTTCCGGTAGTATATGTATCTACTACCTTTCACACCTACTCATACTCGTCCCAAGCATTGTCTCGCAGTTTTCCAAGTCACCATACAGGAAAAATCAAATAACAGTTTAACACATCAGATAACAAAACGAGGGCTTTATTATTTCTCGAAACTATTACATAGGTGTTCAAGTTCACCCTATACTATGCCTCTAATAGGCTACATCATACGATACTATGGCTACTGCATAACTTGATCTTCAGATATGAAGTCCTCATCCTTGATTCCTCGCATGGTTTTCTGCTTCGTCGAGGATCATGTGAAATGCCCTTGGCCTTGGTGGCGTTTCTGGTCTTGTTGCTTTATTTTTCCTCGAGCAGTCCCTAGAAATATGCCCTTCTTTGTTACATTCATAACTCACCTTCTTGTTTGACGCACACTTGCTGGAGTAATGCCCTGTCTTTCCACATTTGTAGCAAGTCTAATCCTCACCACATTTCCCGAAGTGCTTCTTTTTACACTTTTCGCACCACTTGGTTTCACCTCCTCCTCCTTCTTCAGTCTTTGATAATTTCCCTTCTTTGTTGGATTTTGAAGATCCTTCATGCTTCCTTTTCTCGCTAACTTCAGCTCTCTTCAGACCTTTTTCCATAATCTGGGTCTCAACATTCCTGGTTGCCCAGATGGCAGCTTTCAAAGTGGTTGTTTGCTTAACCATTGGACCAAAGTCTGCTGGTAATCCATGGGCAAACTTGTTAACCTTGGAGAGTTCGGTTGGGAATAGGTAAGGAACAAGCTTCATTTTCTCCGTAAAACTTGCAGCATACTCGATGACACTCATCCTTCCCTTCTCTAGATTCTGGAACTCATTGTTGATCTCCAGAAGATCCTGCTCAAAGCAGTACTGCATTTTTAACTGCACCAGAAAATCTTCCCACAACATCTTGCTCGCTTCTCCTTTGGGCATCGAATCAGCTAGTAGCTTCCACCAACTTAGTACTCCATATTTCAACAGAGGAACCATGAGAGCGGTCTTTTGCCTGTTGCTACACTCGCAACTCTCAAACATCGTCTCCATCTCAGAGATCCAGTTCATGACTTCCACGGGCATCGGGCTTCCAGATAGACTCGGTGGTTTGGACGCCATGAAATCCTTGTATTTGCATCCATATCCGTCATTTCCTCCGTCCTGGTGGTTTTGCCTAACTATCGGTGGGTTAGCTTAACCAACGGTCCCACTGTAGTTTCCCTCCTCAGTCTGCCCTTCGTTCAACTTGGGCTGTTCGATCTGTATGGTCGCTTCCTCTCGATTTTGCTGGAGCAAACGTCTGGTTTCCTCCATTTTGACGATCCAACATCACCTGGATCATTGCTTGCACTCCGGCCATCGTTATTGGCTCAGCATTGGCTACCACAACCGGTATTTGCTCAATCACTGGGGGTTAGTTTCGGTTCCCATTTGTATTCACGTTTCCGCTATGGGTCCTTGCCATCTTGATCTATACACCGAATAAGGTGAATCTAGATCTTTATTTAGAATTGATACATTTATATTCTAGTTCTAATATCGTATTCATACGTTTAAAATCCTAAACACATAAGGTTTCCAGATCAGGTCGGCAACAGACCATAGATCCGATCAAACTGTAGCATAACAAATCATTTAGCACGTAAAAGCAATTTAGGCATCATTCCTAAAATAAGCTAGTGCTCACACCTCACAATCATCGCTTAGCATTCTAAGTTTAAGTTTAGAAACTTCCAACAAATTCCTAGTTCGCTTAAACTAATTCTCTGATACCAACTGTGACATCCCCATTTTTCACGGCCAAAAAAGACCGATTTTGTTTATGTTTTATAAAAATCAGAGTACTTCTTTTAATAAAAATGTTGCAGAATTTGTTCCCAGTAAAATATGATAAATACGTTATCAAAGCATTTCTGAAGAAATGTATTTTTATTCATTTTAAAACATTTGGGATGTCATCGTTAATACAGAAACATAAGCATAAACAGAACTTACATTCATTATCACTAGTGATCTATATCTCCGTAATCTCTCAGTGTAATGTGACTTCATATTAACACCTGTGATATAAATAAACTGAGTGGGTCAGGTTGGGAAACCTGGTGAGTACATTGGGTTTTCAACCCACAATAATATAATTATTATGTTTAAACAATCAAACAATCAACCCAATTACCCATCCCCATTATCTTCTTTAATCTTAAGGATCTACCCTAAGAATCAGCTATTCCTCGTTCATTCATTCCTAAGGAATCGGCACAAAGTCCATCGTTCCTACGGTTTACACAACGGGCACTAAGTCTGCATAGTCGCCAGGGTTTAGGCATCAAGTCTGCATGATCACCAAGGTTTAGGCATCAAGTCTGCATGATCACCAGGGTTTAAGCATCAAGTCTGCATGATCACTAGGGTTTAGGCATCAAGTATGCATGATCACCAGGGTTTAGGTATCAAGTCTGTATGATCACCAGGGTTTAGAGTACACCGGGTGAACACATCGTTCACAACACCTACAGGTTGCGAGCCTGCTAGTGTTCCACTGGACTGTCTAGAATAGTCTGTGGTTGTCATCCATACTCTGCTGAATGACGGGGCCATCATTTGGGAAAAAGGCTTCTCACATCGTCCA